CAAAGTTCAACAGTGTTCAGGAGTTTCCGTGTCCGATTTTAGCTCCATGAACTCGACGCCCAAACACCGCTGCCTGTATTCTTGTGAACAGCAGCACAATTAGAACATACGATGATTTAAGTGTCAGGAGAGGTTAACAGGGGTTAACAAAGACAGAGGTGATCTGCAGTTCCCGAACAGTACAAACAAATCCAACGACCCAAGTCTTTTTACCAACCTTTTCTATGACCCGTAGTCAGTGGGCAGGAATCTAGCCTCCACACTCCTCCAGGAACCCGTGGCGAATGTCCAGGCAAGGGGCGTTCGTCACAATTACCAATTCTCCAAGGGTATGCAAACTTTTAATCACAACTGTACAGTCATATAGAGATTTGAAGACAGTCATGCAGACATACAGACACGGTCATATAGAGACATATAGACACAGACAGTTATACATGCAATCACAATTATATACCTTCATCTTAGCCCTGTGCAATCAGGTCCCTGGGAAGCATGCTTTCTCGCTCTGATCTGTGGATCGAATTTAGTAGCCCAACCCCATCACTGTTTATTATTTGAGCAGCAGTAAATGCAGGGGATAAGGGCTACATTTGTGGGGTGGTTATGACCAATGATGGGAAAGAGGGCATGTGATAGGGGTTGGGTGCAGAAATGGTGGGTATGGGGGTTGGGTGCAGAAATGTAGAGGGGCTTTGCTGGGGGGATAATGACTATGGTGGGGGGATAGGGGCTGCGATGGAGGTTATGAGGGCTGAGATGGGAGAGGTAGGGGGACTGAGATGAGGGGGATTGGGATTGTAATAGGGGAAATATGTGGAGGGGAAAAAAAATAGTTAAAAGTGTATTCCCCCCTCCCTGGGGCTTACCTTTGGCTAGGGAGGGGATAATACTGATCTATGGTATGCTTTCTGATGACTTAAAGGTAGGCAGACAATGTAATAGAGCAGCAGGAAATGCTAGCAGAATGCTTGGTTGTATAGGGAGAGGCATTAGCAGTAGAAAGAGGGAAGTGCTCATGCCATTGTACAGAACACTGGTGAGACCTCACTTGGAGTATTGTACACAGTACTGGAGACCGTATTTTCAGAAGGATATTGATACCTTAGAGAGGGTTCAGAGAAGGGCTACTAAACTGGTTCATGGATTGCGGGATAAAACTTACCAGGAAAGGTTAAAGGATCTTAACATGTATAGCTTGGAGGAAAGACGAGACAGGGGGGATATGATAGAAACATTTAAATATATAAAGGGAATCAACACAGTAAAGGAGGAGACTATATTTAAAAGAAGAAAAACTACCACAACAAGAGGACATAGTCTTAAATTAGAGGGACAAAGGTTTAAAAATAATATCAGGAAGTATTACTTTACTGAGAGGGTAGTGGATGCATGGAATAGCCTTCCAGCTGAAGTGGTAGAGGTTAACACAGTAAATGAGTTTAAGCATGCATGGGATAGGCATAAGGCTATCCTAACTATAAGATAAGGCTAGGGACTAATGAAAGTTTTTAGAAAGTTGGGCAGACTAGATGGGCCGAATGGTTCTTATCTGCCGTCACATTCTATGTTTCTATGTTTCTATGGTGGGAGACATGCTACCCAGTGGGGGCAGACAGCTCATTAAGCCACCGCCGAACATTGTATAATGTGGTAAAGTGTGGCAACGCTCTGATGGTAGGAGGGAGAACTCTCACCTCCCTCTCCTCTGGATGGCCGTGGACTATTCTCCTCCTCCTTGGCCTTCTGACCTTCTCTAGCACTTGCCCACTAGAGGCTGGACAGGGAGATCTCTTGATTTCCTCTGTTGCCCCGTGCACCGGGCCTGGCGTTTGGCCACTACATAAAGTGACCGACAGGAGAGGCTGGCCACCTAGGTATTTGTGCCCCGCGGAGACTGTGTCCATTGCGCCAGCCCTGAGTGTACCGACACCCTCCCATAGTAAAACCATATCAAACAATTTTAGGACTGGGGTTATAGAGGTAGGTAGATGTAGGCATGTCTAGCGCTATACTGTATAAAATAGGAAATCAGTGCACTTAGAAGAAATAGATAAAAGCAGGTATATCTCCACCATAGATGGACCTCATAATGGAACCAGTCCCAACTGGGCCAAGGTTGAGAAAATCGCCAAGAATATAAAGATTAAAAACAATAAAAGTGTCCAAAGAGCGAAGTCCAATCATCCAACGCGTTTTGCCTGGTGGGTACTTCCTTACTCCTATGGATATTTCACCTATATCTACAGAGTGAAGATCCACCTACATGGAATATAACCCTCGGTGGAGATAGGCCTCCCCGGTGTATCTGTATATATTACACCATGTGCCATTTTATCTTCTTTGTTTACATTGGTTACACCAAGATTTAATTTGATATTTTTTATTCTGTTTAACAGGTTCTGTTATTATTATTATTATTTGTCTATTTATTTGAGCTTTCTTTATATATACTTTACGTATATATATATTATTTTGTAGTTTGGGTGGTCTTGTGAAGTACACCTTTAATGCTTTTGTATAGTAAATTCTTTCTTAGAAGCTGGCAGCCTTGTATGTGATTCCGGTTACTACGCCACGTAGGACTGCGATCATTGGCTGACTGAGAATGATGAAGGCTCTGGGGAGCTGAAACATAGCTTGTTCTGAAAATAAATCTACACCATCATTATCAAAGAGCGTAGCCTGTGTCTTTCAGGTTATTTTTTTTTGCTCTCTCACTGTCCTTCAGTGTCTCTCTCTCTCTCATTGTCTATTACTGTCTTTCACACTGTCTGTCACTGTCTCTGCCTGTCACTGTCTGTCACCATCTCTCTCACTGTGTCTCTCTCAATGTCTGTCAGTGTCGCTTTCTCACTGTCTGTCACTGTCTGTCACCATCTCTCTCACTGTGTCTCTCTCAATGTCTGTCAGTGTCTCTTTCTCACTGTCTGTCACTGTCTGTCACCATCTCTCTCACTGTGTCTCTCTCAATGTCTGTCAGTGTCGCTTTCTCACTGTCTGTCACGGTCTGTCACCATCTCTCTCACTGTGTCTCTCTCAATGTCTGTCAGTGTCTCTTTCTCACTGTCTGTCACTGTCTGTCACCATCTCTCTCACTGTGTCTCTTTCTCACTGTCTGTCACTGTATCTACCTCACTCTCTGTCACTGTCTCTGCCTGTCACTGTCTGTCACCATCTCTCTCACTGTCTGTCTCTGTCTCTCCGTTGCTATCTGTCTCTGGTTTTATACAGAACACACACAGGGCAGGTTTATACAATGTACTGCAATGCTGTCTCTGCACTGGCTTGTCTGAGATCTGAGTGAATTTTTAGGCGTCTTTAGAGATTCAATTATAATAATTGGTTGACAATTTTATGGCTTGTTCATCATATTTATTCTCAGTAATTAAGTCTGTAAGGCCGGGTTGGTAAAGGGATTACCCATTCCCCCAAACAAGCTAGGTTACCCCCACATTTCCATAGGAATCCTCAGTATTTGGCAGGATGAGTCTTAGTACACATTGCAAAGTTTTACCAAAAAATAGTACCATTAGCCTTTACTGCTCCACCTGGAAGGCTATTCCAGGTATCTACTACCCTTTCTATATCACTGTTACTGCTCCCACTGGGAGTCTATTCCATGAATCTACTACCCTTTCTATATCACTCTTACTGCTCCTACTGGAAGGCTATTCTGGGTATCTACTACCCTTTCTATATCACTGTTACCGCTCCCACTGGAAGGCTATTCCAGGTATCTACTACCCTTTCTATATCACTGTTACTGCTCCCACTGGAAGGCTATTCCAGGTATCTACTACCCTTTCTATATCACTGTTACTGCTCCCACTGGAAGGCTATTCCAGGTATCTACTACCCTTTCTGTATCACTGATACTACTTCCACTGGAAGGCTCTTCCAGGTATCTACTACCCTTTCTATATCACTGTTACCGCTCCCACTGGGAGTCTATTCCAGGTATCTATTACCCTTTCTATATCACTGTTACTGCTCCAACTGGAAGGCCATTTCAGGTATCTACTACCCTTTCTATATCACTGTTACTGCTCCCACTGGGAGTCTATTCCAGGTATCTACTACCCTTTCTATATCACTGTTACTGCTCCAACTGGAAGGCCATTTCAGGTATCTACTACCCTTTCTATAGCACTGTTACTGCCCCTACTGGGAGTCTATTCCAGGTCTACTACCCTTTCTATATCACTGTTACTGCTCCCACTGGAAGGCCATTTCAGGTATCTACTACCCTTTCTGTATCACTGTTACTGTTCCCACTGGAAGCCTATTCCAGGTATCTACTACCCTTTCTATATCAATGTTACTGCTCCCACTGGAAGGCTATTCCAGGTATCTACTACCGTTTCTATATCACTGTTATTGCTCCCACTGGAAGGCTATTCCAGGTATCTACTACCCTTTCTATATCACTGTTACTGCTCCCACTGGAAGGCTATTCCAGGTATCTACTACCTTTGCTATATGACTTTTAGCCTTTACTGCTCCCACTGGAAGGCTATTCCAGGTATCTACTACCCTTTCTATTTCACTGTTACTGCTCCCACTGGAAGGCTATTCCAGGTATCTACTACTCTTTCGATATCACTGTTACTGCTCCCACTGGAAGAATATTCCAGGTATCTACTACCCTTTCTATATCAATGTTACTGCTCCCACTGGATGACTATTCCAGGTATCTACTACCCTTTCTATATCACTGTTATTGCTCCCACTGGAAGGCTATTCCAGGTATCTACTACCCTTTCTATATCACCGTTACTGCTCCCACTGGAAGGCTATTCCAGGTATCTACTACCCTTTCTATATCACTGTTACTGCTCCCACTGGAAGGCTATTCCAGGTATCTACTACCTTTTCTATATCACTTTTAGCCTTTACTGCTCCCACTGGAAGGCTATTCCAGGTATTTACTACCCTTTCTATTTCACTGTTACTGCTCCCACTGGAAGGCTATTCCAGGTATCTACTACCCTTTCTATATCACTGTTACTGCTCCCACTGGAAGGCTATTCCAGGTATCTACTACCCTTTCTGTATCACTGTTACTGCTTCCACTAGAAGGCTATTTCAGGTATCTACTACCCTTTCTATATCACTGTTACTGCTCCCACTGGGAGGCTATTCCAGGTATCTCCTACCCTTTCTATATCACTGTTACTGCTCCCACTGGGAGTCCTTTTCAGGTATCTACTATCCTTTCTATATCATTGTTACTGCTCCCACTGGAAGGCTATTCCAGGTATCTGCTACCCTTTCTATAGCACTGTTACTGCTCCCACTGGGAGTCAATTCCAGGTATCTATATCATTGTTACTGCTCCCACTGGAAGGCCATTTCAGGTATCTACTACCCTTTCTATATCACTGTTACTGCTCCCACTGGAAGGCTATTCCAGGTATCTACTACCCTTTCTATATCACTGTTACTGCTTCCACTAGAAGGCTATTCCAGATATCTACTACCCTTTCTTTATCACTGTTACTGCTCCCACTGGAAGGCTATTCCAGGTATCTACTACCCTTTCTATATAACTGTTACTGCTGCAACTGGAAGGCTATTCCAGCTATCTACTACCCTTTCTATATCAGTGTTACTGCTCCCACTGGAAGGATATTCCAGGTATCTACTACCCTTTCTATATCACTGTTATTGCTCCCACTGGAAGGCTATTTCAGGTATCTACTACCCTTTCTCTATCACTGTTACTGCTCCAACTGGAAGGCTATTCCATGTATCTACTACCCTTTCTGTATCACTGTTACTGCTCCCACTGGAAGGCCGTGTCAGGTATCTACTACCCTGTCTGTATCACTGTTACTGCTTCAACTTTAAGGCTATTTTAGGTATCTACTACCCTTTCTATATCACTTTTACTGCTCCCACTGGAAGGCTATTCCAGGTATCTACTACCCTTTCTATATTACTGTTACTGCTCCCACTGGGAGTCTATTCCAGGTATCTACTACCCTTTCTTTATCACTGTTAATGCTCCCACTGGAAGGCTTTTCCAGGTATCTACTACCCTTTCTATATCACTGTTACTATTCCCACTGGAAGGCTATTCCAGGTATCTCCTTTGACAGAACCATCTGTCTATGGATTTTTGTTTTCCCTCCATTCGTCTGTTTGTTCGGCTATTTCCCTGTCCGTACGGTCCCCCTGTTATTCCCTTGTTTCTACCAAACAAACTGCCGAAAGACTGGCCACCCAGCAGGGAAGTGTGCTGCTTGTTGACCTCTTGGCCACATCAAAACGTTGAGGTTAACCGCAGACACTTCCTAATTATCAAGCGCAGACCGGGTGGTCGTCGTTCGTATGCCGACCACGAGGCGGCGGCCATCTTGACTATACAAATGATCAGCGCTGTTCGTCGATGAGTTCATGGAACTAAACACAAATAATATTTCTCCTGAACACCGCTGAAGCTGCCAACCTCCCTTCTTCTGACTTCCAATATACGAACGCCGGTCCGTTCGGCACTTTCTCCACGAATGAACTTACCCCAGATAACCATCCCATGGAGCCCCTTCGTATACTGAAAGACAATGTGAAAAACTTTGGCTCCATGGAGATTGAACTATGGGTATAGGATCTGAGCGCCATTCGGTAATAATGTGCTCTCAGATCTAAGCTATCTGGAGATACGTTAATTGCATATAATCCATTCGGTAGTTTTCCTACAATGTATTTTTTATGTCTATTTATTATCCCATGTAAAATGGCATTTTGCTTCTATCCTGGCAGATAATTGGATTACTTCCCAATTATCCACAGGATAGAGAGGAGGGTTTACCTGGTGTAAAGGGGAGTGTTTATAGCCAGAGTGTGCTCATTGGCTACTGTATCACTTTTGTCCCAGTCTTCCATCTGGTCCCCTCGGGGAGTGTCCACCAGATGGGAGACCTGCATAAATACCGGGTAGGTAGCCCACATTAAGCCAGATTCCTGTTTTACCCTCAATATGTAGCCTTGTCTCCTACTTGGGGGGAAATGCTACTGTGGATTATTTGTTTACCTGTTCCAGGAGAGAAGGATTTCGTATGTTTCCAGTTCGGTGGGTTCGATTGTTCGTGAGTTGCTGTTCCCTTCGAAAGGTTAATCTCCCGAACGGTATTAACCTTTACTACACCGGGTTATACCGTAACATCTAGTACCCTTTCTTTTTTTTTTTTTATCATTTTTTATTGACATTTTTCTTTTCATAATACAAAAATTCTAAATACATACATACAACTAACATAATATAGTCGATTGATACTGATGAAACATCCTCATAGATAAAATAAAACATCCTATACATATCGAATTCAATCGAGTATAAAAAAAAATAAAAAAATAAAAATTTGAATTAACCCTTCACCTATTTTAGGAGCAGGAAAAAATTCTAAGGATATCACAGATATATATATATAACAAGGAATAAAAATATATCAATAGAAATAGATGCTCATTTGTTTACAAACTAAATTATCCCTGGGCTTTTTCCATCTGGCCAGAAAAAAAAAATAATATACAGAAAATTTATAATTGCTATAACTCTAGTTAATCTAGTTAATTGCAATTAATTAGTTACCATATAATTGGGAAACATTTTGAAGCCAAGTTGAATACCAATCTCTTTTTTTTTGAGACTGCTAAACAATTTTTTGTGATATCTCTTTCTATTATCAGTTGGAATCTAATTTGATTGATCAAGGAGGTTTTCTGAAAAAGGTTTGAAGATTTCCACTGTCTATCAATAATGATTTTAACTGCAACAAGACAGTGAATATCTAAACAGATATATTTACATGACTTAAAATGCCAATTCAGATGTAGAAGAGCAGAGGCTGGATGTTTATTTATTTCATTGAAGGATACTTCATTAAGAGATACTTCAGAAAAGATATTAAATGCCCACGCCCAAAGTGACTTAACTACTGGACAAGCCCACCATATATGAATATATGTACCAGAGTAGGTGCCACACCTCCAACAAGTGGAGTCTTGAGTATTATACATTTTAGCTAGTCTTGTCGGAGTGTAATACCATCTATGACACTCGGTCAAATTTAGACAATGAACAAATTTATTTACATAGATTAAAGAAGAAAGCCATTCCTTTGGAGAAATCACTGCATTTAGTTCCTTCTCCCAAGTGTTTATCAATTTATAAGGAATGGCATCTGAGCGTTTGAAAAGAGAGTTGGCCTCGGAAATAACCTTGGGGACTGTTTGATAGCAGAATAGAACTTCCAACTTTTTAACCCACGAAAAAGAAGATTGAATAACATGTTTCTGAATATAATGTTTAATACGGAGGTAAGTAAATACCTCTCTGGGAGGAATGTGTAGGTTATCCACAATCTGTTGGAAGAGCAGGATATTGTCTCCTTGCATAATGTCCAGTAAAGTTAATGTGTCTTTATTGACCCAGTGTCTCAGTGAGAAATCTTCTAAAATATATTCCAATATATTGAGTTTACATGTTCTAGGAATTAGATGAGTAAAACCCAATATTTTCTTAATTTCAGCCCATACCTCTAAGGATTGAGCCAAAGAGGTTAAACTGTTAGGCAAGTCCCTGGAAATCGTTCCAAAATCTGACCATATATAAAGATAGAGTCCAGATGAAAGAATGGCTTCAGATTCCTTGGTGTACCATGGTTCAGAAATAAAGTGTGGATCTTGTAAAATATATGTGTCGGATGATATTTCCATGAAATCCCTCTTTAATTCTCCAAATAACCGAACAGGCTTGTTCGTATAGTCTGTAAATAGGGGATTTTGTTACAATCACTAATTGTAACAAAATCCCCTATTTACAGACTATACGAACAAGCCTGTTCGGTTATTTGGAGAATTACAGAGGGATTTCGTGGAAATAACAATAAATGCGAATGAACTACCGAACCACCGACCTTCCACTGAGGTCGTGTGGCGCCTATTGACCACCCTGACTGTTGCGGTTAACCACAGACTAATTGGGGAATAGCTGGTGGTCCACGTTCGTCTACCGAACACGTGGCAATCGCCATTTTGTTTTGTCGAACGCACAGCGGTAAATGGCACGGATTCCCTGGAACTGATTTCGGCTACCTATTTTGTCGAACACCGCTGTTACCTTCTCTCATCCTCATTCATATGGTGGAAAACACACGAATGAAGGGGATAATACTTCTTTTGTGCGCTGAAAGTATGCGAACGTAACCGACCCCAGATAGTTAGAATATGGAACTTGCAGTCGGCTACAAACATACGAACGGCCGGTGAAAGGCAAACTTCAGTCGACGATTCTGGGACCTGTGTTTGTGGGATCTGAGCGCTATTCGCCTAGAATATGCCCTCAGATCCAAGCTATCTGGGGATATGTGGAACTTAAAGTTTATGTTGTGTAAAAAGAAAGTTATGTATTTTTATTCTGTTTTTACTAACTAAGAAAAGCCATGTTTCTTTCTTCCTGGAGATAATTAAGGCTCTCTTTGCTACCTTAATTTAATTATCTCCAGGATGGAAAAGAGGGAGTGATTTAGGTAAAAGGGGAGTGCTTATACTATAGCCACTGTGATTGGCTACTGTGTTACTTTTGTCCCAGTCTTCCATCTGGTCCCCTAGGGGAGTGTCCACCAGGTGGAAGACCTGCATAAATACCGGGCGGGTAGCCCACAGTAAATCAGATCGTTTTACCCCTTCATGAAGTCTCGACTCATGTTTGGGGGATTGGGAGTTATAATCACTTCGTTTCAGTTGGAGTTTGGGAGAAGCTGCAAGGATCATCGCTGCACGAATGCAAGGATCCTTTACACTGGTGGCAAGCGGCGGGATTTCCTCCCGAACGGACGTACCGAATTGAAACAAGTGGTGAATGGCGCATAGATACGAACGCTTGAAACAAAATACATTGAAGGAACTGCTGGAAGCTCGAGGCATAGTGGCAAGTAACAAACCGAAAGCCACGTTAATAGCCGAACTACTGGAGAGCGATCAAACTGGCGAACCACAAATGGCGAATGCAGAGGAAACAGAGTTCCAGAGGCATGTGAGATGGAGACTCAGCCTGGTAGGACCTAACCCTGCACCAGAGATCGTGGTACAGATCTTGGCACAAGCTACAGAGTCCCAGAATGCCAGGGAAGCACGAGAAGCCAGAGACAGATCACCTCCTGTGGATATATTGTCGCTATCTGGATCTACAATGGGGCGTCAGCGGAAAATCAACTATGCCGCATTTAAAAGCTTCGTGGAAGGTGAGATGGATATTGATAATTACTTGCAAGATTTTGAAAGACAATGTGTGTTAGAAGATTTGGAAAGAGCTAACTGGGCTGCAGTATTAAGTAGTAAACTATCAGGTAGAGCAGCCGAAGCTTTGAGAGCTGTGTCAGATGGGGATATACAAAACTACGAAAAGATAAAAGAGATTTTGTTAGCTCGGTACGCTGTAACTCCTGAAGCCCATAGAAGGAAATTCCGGGCCCTCAGGAGACAAGGATTCATATACAGAGTGGGCATTTTGTATGCAACGCGCTGCCAGTAATTGGATGCAGGGGAATCAGGCAACTACCCTAGAGGATGCTGTGCAATTGTTGTTACTGGAGCAATTTTTTGATTATACTCCAGCAGAGGTGAGAGACTGGGTCAGAGACAGAAAGACAAAAATGGTGGAGGAGGCAGCAAGGCTGGCAGACAAATTTCATGAGAGCAGGCAGATGGATGGAAACCAAGGGGTCCAGGGCCAGCGGCCTGCATCTGGCCTGCCAACTATGCCACAGAGGGTACCACCACCGGGGGGCAATACCACAACCCCGGGGTACCAAAAGACAGCTCCAATGTGTTATGGGTGCAAGCAAGTGGGGCACATCAAACCTAACTGCCCACAACGCACTACAGATCGCTGGGGGCGGGCACTGGTACGACCGACCAAAGTAGCCGCACACTGTGTGCAAGAGGATTACAACTCTCTGACTCAAGAGACACCCAGTAACCACAGTGAGAATTGGGCCACCTTACATGAGGTGAACCCTGTACAGGCGGCTGGGGATAACAGAGCGCACCACCGCCAGTCGGTAAAACTAAATGGACAAGAGGCTCGGAGACTGAGAGACAGCGGGGCCACTATTACCTTGGTCCAGCCACACCGGGTCACCCCGACCCAGCACACAGGACGCACCATTGCTGTAAGGGTGGCTGGAGGGGCAATTCATAAACTGCCAACAGCCCGGGTTCACATTGATTGGGGTTCAGGGGCCAAGGCCGTAGAAGTGGGCATCATGCCAGATTTGCCCGCGGAAGTATTGCTGGGGAATGATCTAGGATGCCTGACGTCCCAATTGGCAGCCTGCAGTACCGAAGGAGCACTACCTGTTACCACCCGGCAGCAATCCAGAGCTATGGAAGCCTCCCCCTCAACCCATGACCAGGTAAGCGATAACCCTCTGACGATTCCCCCTGACCATACTTCTTACTGGGGTACCCCTAAAGACTTTGAGCAAGCGCAATGGGAAGATCCCACCTTAAAAGGGTATCGGAGGGAGGCAGAACAACCCCAGGGAGACAGAGATCAGGCAAGGTTTAGCTGGGAAAAGGGTTTACTGTACCGAGTGACTGGGGGGACAGGGACAGGAGCGGGCCAGGTAGAAAAAAGACAGTTTATAGTGCCCCGTAAGTATCGAGTAGAACTGTTACGGATTAGCCACGATATTCCCCTAGCAGGTCGCTTGGGCATTAAAAAGACAAGAGACAGACTCACCCAGTCCTTTTTCTGGCCAGGGGTCACTAGAGATTTGCAGGATTATTGTAGGACCTGCGAAGTATGCCAAAAGGTAGGGAAGAGAGGGGATCACCCCAGGGAAAAACTACGTCCCCTACCCATTATTGAGGAACCATTTTTCCGAGTGGCAGTTGATTTAGTCGGGCCACTCAGTAAACCCAGTCCATCCGGTAAGAAATACATTCTTACTTTGGTGGACTACGCTACCCGCTACCCCGAAGCTATAGCTCTGTCAAATATTCATGCAGAGACGGTAGCAGAAGCACTAGTTCAGGTATTCACTAGGGTGGGATTCCCTAGGGAGATAGTGTCAGATCAGGGAACCCAATTCACCGCGGTGGTTACCCAACAGCTCTGGCAGAGCTGTGGGGTAAAACCCATATTAAGTTCTCCCTATCACCCCCAAACCAATGGCCTCTGTGAACGTTTTAACGGCACCCTTAAGCAAATGCTCATCACGTTCACAGAGACCTGTAGGAATTGGGAAAGATTCCTCCCTCATTTGCTCTTTGCCTATAGGGAAGTTCCCCAGGAGTCCACCGGATTCTCCCCGTTCGAGCTATTATACGGGAGACGGGTCCGGGGACCCCTGGATCTAGTACGGGAACATTGGGAAGGTGATATGGAACAAGCAGGTACCCCTATAGTCTCCTTTGTACTAGAGCTGAGGGACCGGCTACAGGCTCTGACCAAAACTGTTCGGGAGAACCTGCGAGCCGCCCAACAAAGGCAGAAGTACTGGTATGACAAGGGAGCTAGAGACCGTATATTAGAAGTGGGACAAAAGGTCCTAGTGCTTAAACCTATCAAAACAGATAAGTTACAAGCATCCTGGCAGGGCCCCTACACTGTAATAGAGCGGATCAATGATACCACGTACATTGTGGCAGACTGTTCCGATGAAAGGATCCGGCGGTCCTTCCATGTAAACATGCTCAAGCCATATCTCGAGAGACCAGAGGAGGTCTCCGCGGTATGCGCTCCAGCATATGAAGATAGTGAGGGTATCCCTTTACCAGATATGCTTCCCCAGGAACCCACAGGAGTAAACCAGGTACAGTTGGGTCCAGAATTAGGTTCCGAGGAACAAGCTCAGGCTTCCCAACTGTTAAAGGAATTTGGGGGCATGTTTTCAGCAGCCCCAGGGTATACGACCCTGGCAGTCCACAGAGTGGAGACCCCAGGCCAGTTACCCCTGCGGCAGCAGCCTTAACGAATTCCAGAGGCAGTACGGGAAAGCATGTTAACGGAACTCCAGGACATGTTAGAACTGGGGGTCATAGAACCGTCCCAAAGCCCCTGGGCTTCCCCAGTAGTCCTGGTTCCTAAAAAAGACGGTACCACCAGGTTCTGCGTGGACTACCGTAAGCTAAACGATCGGACCGTTACCGACGCATACCCCATGCCCAGAGTAGACGGGCTGCTAGACGGTATGGCTGGGGGGAATTATTTGACCACTATTGATTTGTGCAAGGGATATTGGCAAATCCCTTTGGAGCCTGAGGCCATTCCAAAGTCGGCATTTGTCACCCCATTTGGCCTATACCAGTTTAAGGTTATGCCATTTGGGATGAAGAATGCCCCAGCTACGTTTCAAAGGATGGCAGACCGGCTCCTAGAGGGATTTCAGGGCTTCGCTTGTGCTTGTCTGGACGATATAGCTATCTTCAGTGGCACTTGGGAAGCCCACCTGGAGCACATCTCAGTAGTGCTCAACCGAATTCAGAATGCAGGGCTCACATTGAAGCCTGAGAAATGCCACGTGGGCATGGCTGAAGTCCAATATTTAGGCCACAAAGTAGGGTCAGGAAAACAGAGACCAGAGCCCGCTAAAATTCAGGCCATCACCCAGTGGCCCCAACCCCGGACGAAAACTCAGGTCATGGTGTTCTTGGGCACCGCAGGTTATTACAGGAAATTTGTAGCAGAATACAGTGCCCTTGCCAAGCCCTTGACAGACCTCACCAAAAAGTCCCTACCCCGACAAGTAGTCTGGTCCACTGAGTGTGAGGAGGCGTTCCAGAAACTCAAGGCTGCGTTAAGTGCATCTCCTGTGTTAGCGGCACCGGACCATACTAAAAGGTTTCTCGTACACACAGATGCCTAAATGTTTGGACTGGGAGCAGTATTGAGCCAGGTGGGAGACGATGGCATGGATCATCCGGTGGCGTATCTGAGCCGAAAACTATTACCCCGTGAAGTCAGCTATGCCACTGTGGAGAAAGAGTGTCTGGCATTAGTCTGGGCACTTAAGAAACTACAACCCTACTTGTATGGGCGCTCCTTCACAGTGCTGACGGACCACAACTCTTTCATTTGGCTTAACAGAGTGGCTGGCGATAACCCCAGACTACTCAGATGGAGCTTGGCGCTGCAACCCTATAATTTTACAATGCAGTATCGCCCCGGGAAACAGAATGCCAATGCCGATGGCCTGTCCCGGCAAACTGAACTGGAAAAGTAGTATTTTTGTTTGTTTTTCCTGTGCTACCGGACATCCCTTAGCCGACCCGTTAGGATCTAAGCAGGTATGCCGTTCCATGGGACTAAGGGGGAGCTGTGTAACGAAATCCCCTATTTACAGACTATAAGAACAAGCCTGTTCGGTTATTTGAAGAATTACAGAGGGATTTCGTGGAAATAACAATAAATGCGAATGAACTACCGAACCACGACCTCCCACTGAGGTCGTGTGGCGCCTATTGACCACCCTGACTGTTGCGGTTAACCACAGACTAATTGGGGAATAGCTGGTGGTCCACGTTCGTCTACCGAACACGTGGCAATCGCCATTTTGTTTTGTCGAACACACAGCGGTAAATGGCACGGATTCCCTGGAACTGATTTTGGCTACCTATTTTGTCGAACACCGCTGTTACCTTCTCTCATCCTCGTTCATATGGTGGAAAACACACGAATGAAGGGGATAATACTTCATTCGTGCGCTGAAAGTATGCGAACGTAACCGACCCCAGATAGTTAGAATATGGAACTTGCAGTCGGCTACAAACACACGAACGGCCGGTGAAAGGCAAACTTCAGTCGACGATTCTGAGACCTGTGTTCGTGGGATCTGAGCGCTATTCGCCTAGAATATGCCCTCAGATCCAAGCTATCTGGGGATATGTGGAACTTAAAGTTTATGTTGTGTAAAAAGAAAGTTATGTATTTTTATTCTGTTTTTACTAACTAAGAAAAGCCATGTTTCTTTCTTCCTGGAGATAATTAAGGCTCTCTTTGCTACCTTAATTTAATTATCTCCTGGGACAAAAGTAACACAGTAGCCAATCACAGTGGCTATAGTATAAGCACTCCCCTTTTACCTAAATCACTCCCTCTTTTCCATCCTGGAGATAATTAAGGCTCTCTTTGCTACCTTAATTTAATTATCTCCAGGATGGAAAAGAGGGAGTGATTTAGGTAAAAGGGGAGTGCTTATACTATAGCCACTGTGATTGGCTACTGTGTTACTTTTGTCCCAGTCTTCCATCTGGTCCCCTAGGGGAGTGTCCACCAGGTGGAAGACCTGCATAAATACCGGGCGGGTAGCCCACAGTAAATCAGATCGTTTTACCCCTTCATGAAGTCTCGACTCATGTTTGGGGGATTGGGAGTTATAATCACTTCGTTTCAGTTGGAGTTCGGGAGAAGCTGCAAGGATCATCGCTGCACGAATGCAAGGATCCTTTACAGTGATATTTGGAAAATTAAGCCCTCCCTGAGACAATTTTTTAGAAATAATTTTTTGACTGATTCTAGGCTTTTTATTCTTCCAAATAAAATTATTGATGGAAGATTGGATCGTTGCTAACCAAGGCTTAGGAATTTTAAGTGGGACCATAGAAAATAAGTACAACCGTTTGGGTAGAATGTAAGAATTTATCATGTTAATTTTGCCTGTCCACAAGGTTTCTAAGTTTTTCAATTTTCTTAAGTTTTGATTCATGTCTTTCATTAAAAACATAACATTCCTCTCCATTATATGAGAGACATTAGCAGGAAAGGTAAGACCCAAATAGTTTATTTTCCTATCAGTCCAAATAAATTCAAATTTTTGGGATAACCTTTCAACCTGATCCGAAGACAGGTTAATGGTTAAAGCAGTAGATTTTGAAATGCTTAACTTAAAATTAGAGATTTTTGAATATTTGTCAATTTCAACCATTAATGCTTCAAGTGAGTCCTCTGGGGATGTAAGGGTGACCAAAGCATCATCAGCATATAATGCGATTTTAATATCTTTTGATTTCGTGGGGACCCCCTTTATTAGTTGATTGTTTCTCATATTAACAGCGAGGGGTTCAAGAGACAAGATATAAAGGAGGGGTGACAAAGGACAACCCTGCCTTACTCCATTTTTAAGGTCGAACCAGCCCGCAGTAATATTAGGGCCCACAGTTCTAGCCGAAGGAATAGAATACAAAACTAAAATGGCGGTGTATATCCATCCTTTGAAGCCATAGGCCTTAAGGACTTCTCTTAAGTAGCTCCACCTGACCCTGTCAAACGCTTTTTAGGAGGGGCACAGTATGAACTTTAGCTAAACCGATAATATCAATCAACTTTTGGGTATTATTTGATGCCCATCTGCCAGAGATAAACCCTATTTGGTCTGGGTGAATAAGTTTAGTTATAATAGTTCTTATTCTCTCTGCAATAATGGCTGAGTATATTTTCATGTCTACATTAATTAGTGCGATCAGTCTATAATTTCTCGGGTCAGTACTGTCTTTGTCTTGTTTTCAAAATAGGGATAATATTTGATTGTAATAATTCCTTTGGAATCGCCTTATTTTCTGCAACTTGATTGAACATTTCTGTTAAGGGATTTAATAGCTGAAGCTTCATATATTTATAGTATAAATTTGTAAAGCCGTCAGGGCCAGGGGTTTTATTTGTAGCTAGTCTATCAATTTGAGATTGGACTTCGTCAGAGGAAATTTTTTATTTAAGATGGACAGGTCTTGGGAAGAAATTTTCGGAATTAATGAACTAGATAAATAGTTTTGGATGTCCGTTGTTTCTGGGCACAATTTTAGATTGTATAAATCTTGATAAAACTGGTTAAATTTTTGTCCAATATGAGATGGAGTAGAATAAATGGTTTGATCGACCACCAATTTTTCTACCCTATTTTTGGCATAATGGTTTCGTAATCTCTTAGTTAAATTTTTACTCGCTCTATTACCCATGAAATAGTTACTAAGCTTTAATTTATTTATATTTGTCTTAATTTTTTTCCTCTTCTTTTAAATTAATTTGTTTTTTCAACTCTTTTAAACGAGTTCTCAACTCAGAAGTGGAATGCTGTTTATTTAAATTTGAGCATAAAATATTTTCAATATATAAATCGGGCAAGTTTTTACCATGTTTTTTCTTAAAGATATGACCTAATTTAATTATATAGCCCCTCATAACAGATCTATGGGTACACCAGTTTGTCAAAAGAGAAGTATCTACCGGGTTATTTTCTGCCCAAAAATATTCCAATAACTTGGTCAGTTCCTCCCTGTTATTAGTATCCTTAATAAGAACATCATTCAGTCTCCAGGTATTACAGGAGAGAGGGGGAGATTTGCCAAGATCAAATAAAACAAAACTATGGTCTGACCATGGGTTTTCCTTAATATTAATGGATTTAAAGAGCGGGATTGTGCTGGCATTTGTTAAACAGAAATTGATCCGTGAGTAGGTGCCGTAGACCTAAGAGGATGAAATATTCTCCAAATGTCATAGAGATTATATTGATTACAGATATTATTTAACTTTTTAGCCTGCTTAATAGGTCTTTTGTTGTTGACAGATGAAGATAAAGTGGTTCGATCTAAATTAGGGTCGCTAACACAATCACCAGCCATTTTGCACAAAAGGGGTAAAAACCGTTTAGGCGATCGGCCCCCTTTCCGGAGATGCAGGCACAGCTACTGTAGAACACCAAACACACGAACCGCCAATAAGTGAATGCTCCAAACTCCCGAACGGCATCCCATATAGCACTCCAAACACACGAACAGGAACCATACGAATCACTGCTAGCAGACGAATAGGAAAAGCACCCAAGCGGCTTACACTCCTAGCAATCAGTCTCTATCAGAATTCAGTAAATCCCCCCCAAAGACGAGACAAGGCTCCGTGTTGACGGTCAAGCAGTGGTCTCTGCTCCCAATACAGAGTCCTGCTGCTGGGGAAAGGAGACTGGGCTCTCTATTCCCGGTGGGACACTCTGCCGCTGGGGAATGGAGACTGGGCTCCCAATTCCCAATAATCTGTGCTGCCGCTGGGGAATGGAGACTGGGCTCCCAATTCCCAAAACATCATACTGCCGCTGGGGATCTGAGCCGACTGCCCAGCATCCCTGAAGCTCACCCTGCCGCTGGGGAGGGAGGACGCTGCTGGGGAACAGGACCACTTGCCTCTGCCCCCTGTAACTCAGCCTGCCGCTGGGGAATGGAGCTTGGGCTCCCAATTCCCTGTAATTCACTCTGCTGCTGGGGGACAGAAGCAACTATCTCTGTCCCCTGTAACTCAGCCTGCCGCTGGGGAATGGAGCTCGGGCTCCCAATTCCCTGCAATATCGGTGGAGAGACCTCGGTCCCATCTCCACCCGCCACCTGGGGTTCTTCCCAGTAAAACTCAACAATGTCTTCCCATCTGAATGTGTCTGGATCTGGGTCTCCACTTCCCTGCTGAGCCTTCTCACTGGAGTGGAACAGATCTTGTTAGCCCTGCTCCAGCTCCATCTCTCGGGTCACCAGGTGGACCAGGTCTTGCTCAATTTTGTGAGTGTCGTCCCAGTCATACATGCTCTCCCTCCACTCCAAGAGATCACTGAACCGGGCTTGTGTGGGGCTCCCAAACTCAGGCTCTGCAAAAGACTCCCATAACAAGCCAGGACCATCAAACTCCTCTCCCTCTGGCTTATCATGCTTGGCTGTCCAGGGCAGGTACTGTGCCCCATACCACCAGAGCGCCTGGTAGGCATCTTCCAGCCACATCTCCTGCCATACTCGGAGCTCCAATTCCTTCACCCATTCATCCAGGGGCTGCTCTCCCAGAAAGGGCATCCGCAGGGCTACTCGCTTCTGCAGTCGCTGGTCTTCCTTGGGGAGTCTCTTGCCCCGCTGGTACTCCACCATACCCAGTGCCTGGTACAGATGCCTTTGCGCAGCGCATCTCGGTCATCCAGGGCACCCTCGTCATACTCCACTGTTGGTTCCATCTCGGTGCTGTCAGGGTCGCTGTACTGGGACATGCGTTGCCCTCAAATTGTAAAAATCCACAGAATGGTGTCACCTGTAGCTGTCCTGTAGTCTGTGGGAACGATCCCACTGCTACCACCAATTGTAACGGACCATTTTGCACAAAAGGGGTAAAAACCGTTTAGGCGATCGGCCCCCTTTCCAGAGATGCAGGCACAGCTACTGCAGAACACCAAACACATGAACCGCCAATAAGTGAATGCTCCAAACTCGCGAACGGCATCCAATATAGCACTCCAAACACACGAACAGGAACCATACGAATCGCTGCTAGCAGACGAATAGGAAAAGCATCCAAGCGGCTTACACTCATAACAATCAATCAGTCTCTATCAGCATTCAGTAAATCCCCCCAAAGACGAGATAAGGCTCCGTGTTGAGGGTCAAGCAGTGGTCTGTTTAATGAGGGCTACCTGCCCAGTATTTATGCAGGTCTCCCACCTGGTGGACACTCCCCTAGGGGACCAAATGGGAGACTGTGACAAGGGACAGACAAGCAGACAAATAGGACACACAGTCACAGTATATATCCTGGCTTTCTCCCCTCTGCCCTGGGAGATAATTGAGAAGTAATTCAATTATCTCCCAAGACAAAGGCAAATCGCCATAATGCACGTGGGGATACTAAAACATGAATTACTATTAAAATACACCATGTAAGACACATTACATTAAAACTATTCATTTAACATATCCCCAGATAGCTCAGGTCTGAGCGCACATTATTAAGCGAGTGGCGCTCAGACCACACAAATACAGTTCAATCGCCATGGAGCCAAAGACTTTACACAGTCAGTTTCATGCGAATGGGCTCCATGGGATTCCTATCTGGGTGGAGTATGACAAGTAAAAC